TAGAGTCTATGATGCAAAAATTCAGCTTGCATTTGTTTGACCCAGATTCTTCTGTGAAATTGTCCACATCAGTGGACGCAATTGCTGCTTCTATCACTGAGTTCATTCTTGACCCCGACTCCGGCGTTACTTTTGACGCTTGGTTCAAACGCTTGAAAGAGATATGCCGCAAGGAATTTGCCAAGGCCGATGATGCATGGTAGGTGCACCTGCTATTAGGCAAACTGGGCACCAGAGAACACGAGCGGTGCGCAGATCTCATTCTGCCGAAAAACCCTCGTGACTTAACTTTTGATGAAACCGTCCGGTGCCTGTCAGAGACTTTCGGCGAAAGGTCCTCAGTTAGTGTAACGTACTTTGCCTAGGTAAAAAATACAGATCTGTTAAATCTGGGGATTAAATTCTCAAATATGCAGCATAACAAGACGTGGAAGCCCAAATGGATCTTATTGAAAACGCAACTCCTTCAAACCGTCCGCGCAGTGCTGCAACCAGGATTCCGATACGGGAACACTAGATGACTGTCAAGTTAGTTGACCATAAGACTATGTGATGCGATGACGTGGATGAAAATAAGCAATGCATGATAATTTAGGGACCACCCCAAAGAGTCCTCTCAAAAAAAACAGTCTTGGAAATCAAAGGATACTTCCGAGGACTTCTTAACGAACTGTTACGGACCTCTTAGGAAGTTTTTTTTCGACTTGAAAAGCGCCCAGCTAATATTCTCATACCCTTGCGTTTTCAAAGTAGGCTTGTCGTGTTGGGAACAAGACAGAATTCGTCTTTGGCAACGATTTGGGTTCAACAATTTAAACCACGTCATTTTTTAAAATCGAACTACGGACTTGCAAATAAAATGAAACCCCGATAAGTAATTCTGGAACTAGGAATCACACTATACAATTGACAAAAATGCTTGTGCTTTCCAACAATCAGGTGGCGCAACGCAGTCTTGCAATCCGTTGGCCGAATTCAGTTAACTAGAAGGCACAGCTGGCTCACTACCTAGAGGCTCAAGCTGAAATTTACTCCATCTTCAACCAGCGAAATCGTGTTTCCAAATATCCGGAAAACACAGAATATTTTCTTCGTCATGATCTCACCCTAATGGAATTAAAAATAGAGTCGAGCTCTTCTAACAAAGTTTCGATTTTACGCAAACCACTCAAGATTCCGGTCGTAGCACTGTGAAGCCTAGGGGGTCACTTAGTCTTACTCCTGGCAAACCTGACTTACCATTTCCCATTACTGTAACCGTCCTTTCACACTCAATTTGCCCGACACTTCAGTCTACTTCCAACGTAGCTACCTCTCTAGTTGCCTAGCTACTTACTCTTGTAGCCTCCTTAGAACGTCCGGAAATCCATCAACTCCAGGTAAGCCAACAGCTTCGTTATTCGAACGAATTCCTCCCAGATTTCCCATTAAATCACCTAAGAGATGTCATCAAAATGGCATAATCTATGACCAGAACTATGGCCCGACTAAATATAACAGTTGTGATGTCATACCTAATCGTATGCTGCATTTCCAGGCACTAACTAAGCCTATACTACAGGAAAATAACACGCTTATGTGCTACCCTACCTATCTTCATCATCATACTAGGTCCGGATTTCCACCAATTAATACTTATATTTGCTTTCCCTCTCCCACCAGCCTCTATTCGGTCTACTTCTCC